TGTGAAAGGTTCTGTGAATTTTACTGACTGAATGGAAATTCCAAGAAGCTCCAGTGAGTCAAGGACTACAGTGGCCAAACCTTCCCAGAAAAAGGAGAGCAAAGGTGGTGGCTGCCCCTGGGCAAGCCATAGCTTTGTCTAGTCTCCTTATTAATAAATAAATATTAAAAATTAAAAAAAAAAACCTTCAGTGTGTGAAAGGTTCTGTGAATTTTACTGACTGAATGGAAATTCCAAGAAGCTCCAGTGAGTCAAGGACTACAGTGGCCAAACCTTCCCAGAAAAAGGAGAGCAAAGGTGGTGGCTGCCCCTGGGCAAGCCATAGCTTTGTCTAGTCTCCTTTGTGGTAGGTGGGTAGCTTACCAGCTGTCTCATGCCTATCTTGGAAAACAGAAACGAAGTACAAGGGAATCACTAAGTATTGTCTGGTACCCAAGAAAAAATTATTAAAGGAGACCTTGGTTGCAGGCTCTCCTGGTGACTAAGGAGGCAGATACTTGCAACAGCTGTGTGTAGTCTTCTGCAAGTAGGCATTCATACACAACAGGCTGGGGTTGCAAATACAAGAAAAGTAGGATAAAGGGCATCATTTTCCTTCTGGTCCTTACCATCTAGGCTTTGGTAGTTGTTTCTAAGTTTCCATTTTATCACTAAGCTCTTTGAAGCAAAGCAGTAACTAATGGTGTGGACAGCAAGCCAGGAGTCATGAGGAAGACCCCACCTGCACCCCTGTAAAGGGTCTTGGGTTCTGGAGGGAGGCCCAGGAATCAACACTCAACTCTTGGCTCTTTTCTAGATTCAAGTGGACGAAAAGGGGAAGATCGTGGACGCTAGGTTTAAGACGTTCGGCTGTGGTTCTGCCATTGCCTCCAGCTCGTTAGCCACAGAATGGGTGAAGGGGAAGACGGTAAGGCTGCTCCCAAATTTCATAGATTGAATTGAGTTCTCTGCAACCCTGGCTCTTAAAGGGTCTAGTCTTGTAAGTCATGCACACAAAAACAGGCTGACGCGGGAAAACGATGAGTTCAAAGGCAGCCTGAGACCACATAGCAAGACCTTGCTTAAAAAAAAAAAAAAAAAGTAACTGTGATTTCTTCAAACTCTTACTCTAAAATTGTAAAAAGTGGGAAGAGCCTTTCTTTAACCTTGAGATCTCCCATCTGAGGGAGACTGACTTTTCTTAATGCTGGGCTCTATTCTTCACTGGCTGCTTCCCATCATCCCCAGAGCTCTCAGCCGGTGCCCAGGCATCCTCAGCCTGAGGCCACTGAAGCAGCCTAACAGTGCCTACTTTCATCCAGCAGAGGGTCTTACCGTTGTTGCTTACCTAGCCAGAAAGCGCAGGTGTGTGTCCACCCCCTTGGAGAGTGCAGCTGCAGCCTTGGATTGCAGGGAAGTCCTCTCGGGCCCTGGGTCCTCCACCTTTGTTTTGAGTTACTGTCCTGAGGAGAGCGCCTGCCTTCCATTTTCACTGCCTGACCCTGGCAAAATAAAGTTCCCTAAAATGCCCCCTTTCCTTTGTGCCTCAGGTGGAGGAAGCCTTGACCATCAAAAACACAGACATCGCCAAGGAGCTCTGCCTTCCTCCCGTGAAACTGCACTGCTCCAGTGAGTCTGCTTCAAATGCCATGCAACTGCGACCTTGGCAGTTAACTCATGTGGTGACAGAATCCTTTTAGGAGTCCACCTGTATGAGCCTCAGAAAATTCGGGCTCATGGCATCTGCTGTCATAACCTTCAGGGGGTTAGAGCTGTGGTCTCACAGCCCAGGGCTCTAGGGAATTGTGCTAGGAGAGTAAGAGACACCCCCAAGTCCCCAGTAGGCAGCATTATTCCCCTCTTAGAGATGAGGAGGTGAGGCTAGGGTGAAAGCACTTGTTTCACAGCTGACAGCAGCCTGGATCTTTGATCAGAATCTGTGCTATTTCCAGAACACTGTACCAAGCAAGGCCGAGCAGAGAATCAGCTTTCGCCACCCTCCTGTCCACTGCATTTCTTCACTTCCCGTCTGCATGTTAGCTTTGCCTGGTCTGCATCTGTGTGGAGTGACTAAGCTGGTTGTGCAATACCTGCTCTGCACTATACTAAGAGAAAGCCCACGTACCTCAGGACATACAGTTAATCTAATGCTTCCCCATCCTCTCTTAACCTCCTCAGAGAAGGAAGGAATGAGGCTTCACCCTCACACATTGATGGAGGTTTACTGACCAGATTAGAAGACTTAGGAGAAGAGCCAGCACTGGGCTGGGGCACTCTGACACCATCTTCAGGACACCCCCTGAGACCTAGTTCATTCCCCTTGCACTGGAATTTTAAGTGCCCAGAGGAAAGGCCATAGTTTATAAACAGTTTCACAGTTTGAGGAAAAACCAGCCTTTTAGCTAGACCTCCAGGTTGAGACTCCAGCTCACACTCTCTGCTGTTCACAGGTTTCCGATGTCCTCTAGCTCTCCCAACCTTTGCCTTCCCACATAGCCTCACTTTTAATACCATCTCCTAAATAGAAGTCTTTAAGGTTGGAGTCACAGGAGGGTGATGGGCAGGCCTCTGCCATCAGCAGCTCAGCATGGCTTGAGCTGGGCCAGTGAGCTTCACCACCACCTGCAACATCCAGGCTGGACTTTCCAGGAAACAGACGGGAACTAATATCCGTTGTATCCCTACTAGGTGTTAGGTACTTTCTGGGAGTACCTTCACTGTCCCAGCCAGAAAGGCGTGTCTGTCCGAGTTTTGACTAGCTGAGAATCCCAGGTATATAAACCCCAGTCTGTATCCCCAAAGCCACCTACAGGAATAGTGGGACCCAGAAACCACCTAGCTCCTCACCCCCAGCTCCACTTCTCCAGTCCAGAGACCTGACTCAGTGGGCAAAGGTACTTGCTGCCAAGGCTGACAACCTGAGTTCAATCCCCTAATGGATGGAGAAAACCAATTACCCAAGGTTATCCTTTAACCTCCAAACACATGCATGTCCATTCACATACATTCACACCTGTGTACACTATATATATTTCTAAAAATGTAATAAAGAGCACCTCCCCAGTGTCTAGAGACTTAGACCTTCTATCTTCCCTGCCTTCCAGTGCTGGCGGAGGACGCAATCAAGGCCGCCCTGGCTGATTACAAACTGAAACAATCCAAGAAGGGAGAGACAGAGAAGCAGTGAGCCCGTGGAGCCCCAGCCGCTCACGGCAGCTGTTCCCTGCCGCCCTGCACACATCCAGGAAGCTACAGGACACACAGTGTTCGCCATTCGTGTTGCTGACTCTAATGCAAGCAAAATGCATCATTTAATTCTTCTGGATCCTGTGGTTTCTCTCAGCTCACTTCTGCCACCTTAATGCAGTTATATTTTGGATTATGTGTGTGGCCTCAGCTGAAGTGTTAAGTTTTGATAGTCGAGGATGGAGTGCTACAGCTAGTTGTACCTGAATCTGGATGAAGAGTGCCAGGAGAATGCCTGGTTCTGATTGTTTACTGGAACTGATTACTGTATATTTAAAAGATCTGCATATATATTATAATAAAGAATGTTAAGATGATGGTTTTCTCTAGTGAACCTGCTTCTTGGATCCCTCACTCGCCCCCAAATGCTGCCCAGAGCACCTCACTTCCTAAGACCAGACCACAAGGACACCAGAAAGCACAGGCCTTCAGCAGACTTTTCCAGAGCCACAGTGCTTATGGAACAAGAGTGGAAGGAGATGGCCATGCTTTTCACTGTCCTTTACAAAGTAATATTCAATTCGAAATGAGTCTCAGAAGTTCCTTTTGTCATTTCACTGGTTTGTGAAATGCAGAGATTGATCTGAGATATGTTGACACTTGAAAACCTGTGGACCAAACATGAAAAGTGCCTTGGGGAATGAGCTTAGAGGATAGAATTCCGGGCCCAGGCTGTCTCCTCTGGGTAGATGGTTCCGATAGCCTGCTTCTAGGTTTGCGTGGTGAGCAGTGAGCCAAGAGGCTTGTCACTGCTTGTGCGGGTGGGGCATTTGCCATTCACTTGGAACACATACACCCACGCCCCAAGTTTGCTCACTGGTATGGTGGCACCTGCCTAAAAACCCATCTCTCGGGCTGAGGAGGACCAGAGTTTGAGAGCAACCTGGGCTACACAGACCAAATTTGAGGGCAGCCTGGGCTACAGAAACCCTCACTCAAAATACACAGCATGACTCAGGCATGGATAGCCGGTACTCATCCTGCCCTCACTACCTACCCAGAGCCACGTCGTTCTGTAAAGGGCCCAGTTTTCTGGTGACAACATGATAAGGACTACCACAGTGAACTTCAAAAGCAAGCAGGGTTTGTTTTTTTGATGGTGACTTTTTTGTTCAGGCATAGGCAGGCTGCCTCTTAAATATACCTCCTTTGTTTAAGAGTGTTCTGGGTTCTGGTGGACAGTGCAGAACTTCAAAGGCCACTCCCTCCACAGTCCTGGTGGAGACCGCAGGCCAGAATCCATCAGAATCTCAAATTAGCCCCTGGGTGGAGCCATGTCAAATTGTCCTCTGGGGTGTGTTCTGCTGTGTAATTCACAGTCCCTCCAAGCTGGGCTGGTCTCTCCCTTCCTTACATGTGGCAATGCCACAATTCCCCACGCCTGTTGTTTGTGATTTTAAAATGAGACGTTTCTGTCCCAGTTAACACCCTCTGTATTCCACACATCAGAAGTGGCCCACAGACTGCCAGAACAGCCTTACCAGCATGGCCCGACCCTGAGAATGCAGTGGGTGCAGCTAAAAGATAGCTACATTTTTCTTTAATGTACATTTTACTTTAAAACGGCCCTTTTCCCCAGATGGCTCAGGTTTTGGCTGCAGGAGGGCTTCTTGTAGCCCTCACTAGGCTAAGTGACAGAGCATGTTGCAGTCTCTGAGTAGGTCACAGCACCCTGAAGTAACTCTTCATGGAAGGTGTTTATTTTTGTTTTCTGTTGTTGTCTCGAACTTAGAATCCTCCTGCCTCAGCCTCCCAAGTGCTGTAATTATGGGCATACACCACCATGCATGGCTCCCATGACAGGCTTTGACAGACAAGGTAAACTGTCAAGGTCCCTCAGATTTGTTGGCCCCTGCTTTCCTGTCATCCCTAAGGTGGTCGAACCTTTAAACAAGGGCACTGGCTCAAAGAGCCAACCAACTCTGGGCTGAGCCAGCCAGCCTGGAATGAGCCGTCCAGAACCTACGCCCCTTTCCCTCCTGACAGATCACTGTTCTGAGGGTGTCAGAGGCTCGCCTTGCCTTGAAAATAACACTGGAAGAAATATGGGCCCTCACCCTGGCTGTGACTCAGTCATCCAGGGACCCATGTAAGCTGGATGCTCTAGAGGTAGGGTGTCCCCTGAGGGTCTGCAATGGGCTCATGGATGGATTGATGGGCGAATGGATGGAAAATAGACTCAGAGAAATGAAATAACTAGCCTCAGCGCAAACAGCATGAGTGTGGTGGTTTGAATGAGGAATGTCCCCCAAAGGCTGAGTATTTGAATGCTTGGTCCCCGGCTGTTTGGGGAGGCCGTGGAATCTTTAGGAGGTGGAGCCTTGCTGGAGGTGGTATGGGACAACAGGCGGGATTTGAGAGTGTGTAGCCTCACCCTACTTCCGGTTCACTCTGCTTGGTGTTTGCAATTGGAGATGTGATCTCTCAGCTTCCTGCTCCTTCCACCTTGCCTGCTGCTTGCTACCATGCCTCCCCACCATAATGGACTCTTAACCCTCTGGAACCAGAAGCCAAAATAAACTCTTCCTTCTATAAATCACCTTGGTCGTGGTGTTTTATTACAGCAGCAGAAAAGTAGCTAATACAGTAAGCTAGGATGGAGCTCTGAATCAGGTACAGCCTGACCTCCAACTCCCTTCCCACCACCATAGCACAGCCATGGCCGTGCTTCTCATTTAACCTTTCTAAACTGTTCCTAGATTTAGGCCATGTGGGACCCCATCAAAATGCATGGTTTTAGAGACTCACAGTAAGCAGTGTCCTATAAAAGCCATCTGTCACTCTTAACACATTTTCCTAAAAATAAGCAAATAAGAGGTTCCTCCTGATGACCCTGGTAGACCACCTTGAAACAAGAGTGCAGATACTGTGTCCATTGATAAAACCTCACTTCCTGGTCCCACTGAATCCTGGTAGAGTTAGGGGATCTCTGCAGCCTCACCCAAAAGATGTGTGGAACTCACTACCTACCAATGGCTCTTGACCTGTTTTCCCCACCCTCCGATGAGACATCAGCCAACCCTCAAAGACCACTTCAGAAAACTATCTCCCACAGGAGAGCAACAGCTCAGGAGAATACAGGGAGCTAGAAGTGCTGGATCAAATGCTAGTTACCACTGTGACCTTGAACTCAACCCCTCCAAGACTCAGTTTATTCATTTATCAAATGGGAATGAGGACAGTCCTACCTAGTCTGAGAAACTATGGTTAACTGAGATAATGCATATAAAGCACATGGCACAGAAGATGTGTTAACTGCGGCTATGGTGTTTGCCATTTCATGGATGACTCTTCATCCCTGACAACACACCAGACCCTGGAACTGAGAGCTCTGTGCAGACAAATCTGAAGCACTCTGAATAGCCCATTTTACAGACAAAGGAAAAGGTGAAGTGCTGTGTCAAAGGTCAAGTTCATCTGTCCAGGAGTCAGTGGAGGCAGAACCCTAGCGTGATACCTTCTGGCTCAGAATCCACATGCTCTGCTGTGGCTGCTTCACTGTCTTTGCTGCTCTTATGGCTGCCATTACTCAGAGTAACCATGGTTGCCATGACTACTGTTGCTAGTACTGCTATTTTTAAATACCATAATCTCAAGGTTTCCAACCTTGGGTGTCTTTTGCATGGAGCCAGTGCCCACAGTGTAGCCTCCAAATTATACAAACCCTCTGCCTCGCTACACCATGCCAGCGACACACCAGTAACTTCTGTCGTACATGGCTTGGCAGACGAGCTTGCTCCATCACACTTGGCCAACCATGGGGAACTGCTGTTCCCCAGGCCTGGTCTTAAAACTCTGCTGTATGCTGAATTGTGTCCCTTCAGATTCAATGCTGCATCCCTAGCCCCCAGTACAACTGCATTTAGAGATGGGGTCTTGAGGTGTCAATTAAAGTTAAATAGTCATGAAACTGTGAGCCTAATCCAACAGGACTGATGGTCTTCTAGAATGGTCTCTCTCCACACCCAAAGAAAAGGCCAGTTAAAGACAAAGTGCCTATCTACACACCACATCAGAGGCCTTGTCAGAAACTGAACTCACATGAGCCTTGGTCTTGGACTGCTCCCCCTCTAGAACTATGAGAAAATAAAGTTCTACTGTAAAAGCCACATAGTCAGTGGTATTTTGTTATGGCAGACCAAACACTGGATATAATTGCCACCATCACCATTATCATCGTTATTATCATCATTGTCATCAACATCATCACAATTATCATCACCATCATCAACATCACTACCATCAGCAGCAGCATCACCATCATCACCACCACCACTACCACCATCATCATCATCACCAGCATCACCACCACCATCACCATCATCAGGAGCACCATCATCACCACCACCACTATCATCACCATCATTCTCCTCACCACCACAATTACCAGTATTAGCATCATCAGCATCAGCATCACCACCATTTTTTAAAGCTCAGATTTCCCCCAGATGGCTATCCTAAGCAGGGTGTTACCTTGAGACTGCTCCTGGATCCACCCACACCTGTGGAAGGAGATTAAGAAGGCAGAACTGGGCAGAAGGAGGAGGTAGGCAGTGTGTAACCAAATAAAGGTCTCAATTCACTCAAAGGGGGTGCTCTAGGCCCTAACTCCTCTTTGTTGTCCTGCATCAGGACCTAGTCTCTTACAGTCTATAAAACCCATGCACTGCTGGGTTCGGGACTTCCTCTTCTCACCCCTTTTCCCAGGGAGATTTGTCATTTACACACAGAGGCGATAAGGCACTGCTGACCACCAATGACTAAGCCATTGGAATCCCAGGCATCCCTGAAGCTTGTTGTCTTTGAGCAAAGGGCTTGATGGGAGCACCTCCCACTGCCCCACTGGTCCTTCAGCCCCGGGATCCTGCTCATTTTCCCACAACAGCAGGGCCCCCAGAGACCATCCCCCATCAGGGGAGTGCTCATCCACTCTAACCTCCAAAGGCTGGGGACAGCCCAGCCCAGCTTCCTGGCAAATCTGACTTGGGCAGCCTCAGGATCTGAGTCTCCTTCCGACCTTTCCCAGTCTTCATGGGGAGCTGAGTGGAGGACCGTCTACTAGCATGGCCAGTCCTTTTCTGGTCCAGCTAATCAAGCTCAGGGTCCCCAGGGAACGAGCCTGTGCCTATGCTGAGTGCTCTGAGCCACTTTCTCACCCCTTCCTCATTTGGGTTCCCCAGGAGGGATGGCTGGCAGGACATGCCCAGCATAGCTGAGTATACCACAGGTGCTTGCCGAACACACATTCTTCCATAGGACTGGCCCTACCACAGGGCAGGGGAAGAATCAGGAAAGGCAGGCTTCAGCCTTTCGCAAAGAAACAG